CTATATATATCAAGACGTGTGTTTTCGTTTTTTTTTCGAGGGCAGAAGATAATGCAAATTTTTCTAAAACTTTAATATTAAACATCTCAAAGCTTTTCAAATAATAATTCTTCCAAAAACATAATAACTTTCCATTAATTTTTATGTGCCTTTATAGTATTTATTAGAATTCATATCATACAATCATTACGATTTGAAAGAAAGTGAACTATTAAAATTCTTTTAAGATATTTGACTACTTTTTTTCGACAAAATTAATGTTGGCAATTGTCATATTCACACGGTCTATTGTTAATCTGATTGCCATGTCAATCATAGCTGTGAATGCTATGAATGCTAATTTCTTATTTAAACAAACAAATAAACAACGCATCTTTTTTTTTTTTTTTTGGTAGAAACATTCAAGTTGATGTGAATGACTCTGTTGACTTTGAATTTCTTTGCAGTATATTGTTGACCTACATACGAAAATGTATGTATATTTGGATTTGAAAATAGTAATTTTGGCATTAGAAGAAGACGAAAAAACTGTAATGTGTTAGATTTTACGTGATGAAACTCTGGAGTTTTACGATGAATGGTTTTCAGTTCATTGAGTAAAAATATCTTAATGACCATGAAGGTGTGAAACAAAAAAAAAAAAAAGTGAAAACAACAGTCATTAAATAAATAAGAAGAAAAGTAAAATTTCTTATCTTAGGAAATAGATTTTTAAGCTGGCTATAACGTTTATCGAAAAGAGCTTGTTATGAGAATGGGTATACTACAATTGATATTGACTTATAGAGAGTTCCAATGATTTACTATATAATGGAAATTTTCGAATTTTTTTTTAAGAATGTTTACATAGGGTTTTCCTTACATATTGTACATTAAATATTTTTAGAAAATAGGGATTTAAATTTTAGTCTCCTCACATTGCTTTGGAACTGAAATAAAGATATCTAAAATTTAAATGCGAAAAAGGTAAAATTTGGTCTGTGCTGGAACTTTTATCAACGAATATCTCCTTAACTCTAGAGGAAACACACAAATTTTTAACTAAAAAAATAATCATCCCTGAATCCCCTCCAAAACTTATTTGGTTTCGGAAATTTTTGAAAATTTTTAAATAATAACAAGTAAAAAGCAGCTAAATTCGTCCCGGGCGAAAGAAGAAACTTAAAAAATATCAAAAAAAAAAAAAAAAATCCTTCGAAAAATACCGCTCAAAAGAAGACGTGCTGCTGCTTAAGTAAATTTTTCATAGCGTGTAGTAACGATTCCGAACTTCAAATATGAAATTTGAAACATTTCAGGTGAATAATGTAGCTAATATCACCAAAATATATATACAAAGACGTGGACATGCATAGACAATTTCTTATCATAAGTTGTAATACCCGTAACGAACTCATCATAAATCATGGACATACCGAACGTGGAACGTGGACATACTAAAACGTGGACCTCTATAGAAAATTATCTTCCACGAGGTAATGTAGTCACAAGGAACTCTTTTTGTGGATTTTAAGACAATTCCATTTGAAAATTTGGCTACAATCATAAAAATACCTAATTTGGGGGGAACCATTGTATCGGGGCTACATGATATTATAAGCCTATAAACAATTATCTATTAGCGGGTAAAGTACTCATAGAGAACTCCTTGTGTTGAAATTCAGACAATTCCATTGAAAAATACGGCTAAAATCATCAACATACCCAGAGTCGGGAGGTACTGTTGTATTGGAGGGAGGCTACACGATATCGTGGACCTATATAGACAATTCTATCCCAGCGGGTAAAGTATTCACAAGGATACAAGGAGTTCTATGCAGAGCACATTCAATATTGCCTGACTTTGATTCTTTTATTTTGTCTATAGTTTGAAGGAGTTAGTCAATTGTTTGTTGAATTGGAGAAAATTCAGCATTTATGCAAATATTCTCTACTTCAAAATCCTTTGTTTTGGAAAATCCCCACATAAAAGTACCTCTCGCTATGGTTTGGAGCTTTGCAGTGCCTGGCATATTTATACCCTCAGATTTATGTATGTCTGCCGAAGGTATTTATCATTTGATACGACTAAAACGTGCCTCATTGCAACTGTTATAGACCTCGAGTCTCTTAGGAAAAAAATTATTTTAGGACATTTGGATTCGATCTATGTCGCTCTATCTGGCTGGTGCGTACGATACCTCTCGTAGGGGGTATCAGCTTTGGTTCAAACTTGGTATATTGGAATATTCTTATCAAACATAGATCGAGTTAGGAAATGGGCAATATCGGTCCAATCCTACACAAAAGGCCGAAATGTTCAAGAAAATAATTTAAATCATAGAAATAGTAAGAATCATCCAATTTTGTTCCAATTTTGGAAATTTATTTTCAAACTGGGCACAACTCAATATTCCTACCAACATCATCTTTCAGGAGATCCGATTGATACTTTTTAACATGTTTCATATAGTAATTTTAGATTATTCAACAAAAAAGTAAAATCTTAAGTAGTATAATCCCATGGTAAGGGGTAACATGGAAACTGTAGTAAATACGGTCAAGAACAGACAAAAGCGGACAAAATTTTGGCGCGGAAGAGAATTTATTTTGACCTTTTTTTTTTTTTTTTGAACTGATATATTTGTTTATACAGCGATCTAAGCAGTTTGATTTTTGAGCTCTTTCCAGCCAACACATTAAAAAACAGCTGTCAATGTCATTTAGGTTACTGGATATTGATTTTCTCGCAAAAAAGTATGGGCCCTTAATAAAACAGTACCTTCCGATTTTAAGAATATTGAAGATATCAGCCACAATTCCCAAATTTGAGACTTCGTCTTTCTATAAATTTGCAATATCGGCCAATTCTCCAACATTTCCATTGGCTGCAAGTTTTTTGATGGCCATAGTCCCAATCTTTACCTTAATCAGGTACAATTTAGTATTTTGGGGTAGCAAGGGTGAAAAAAAACTATGTTAAAAATATATTAAAATTTTTCAAAGGTCATAGAATATGAGTAATTCGGACGTACACTGAAATGGTTTTTTGAATCATTTTGGAGGGACCAACTGGGAAAAAAAAATTAAATTTTCCATCCAGGAACGATCATTTTAGAGATCGTCCTCGATACATCTCCTCATATCCCATACATCTCATATTATGAAAATTCCTTTTTTTGACTATGTGGTCTTAATTTCAATCATGTTCCACCCAAATTATGTAATAATACCCTAAACCACATAGTGTAAGGGTATTACGCCTTTGTACATTTGTTTGTAACAGGGAGAAGGAAGCGAGATAGTTCCATAGTTACTTTTTATAATTTGCATAGAATCACAGTCTGAGTCGATTTATGCATGTCACCTCACACGCGTAATATGCACCCCACAAGGATCACATTTGGTTCCAGATAGCTTATGAAGCTCAAAAATATCTGTCAAATTTTTTTTCGAGATCGGATCAGATTAGGATATAGCTCCAATATATATCTTTATCCGATATCAGATTTTTTGTGCACCAAAGGGGTAATATCAACCCAAATGGACTGAATTTTGGCACTTCCGACTGAATTCAGGCTAAAAGCTAGTGGTTTAAATTTTGAAAATCGGTTCAAATAAAGCTGTAGCTTCCATATATATGTTTTTTCGCTGCCAAATTTTATCGAGATCGGTTAAGATTTGGATATAGCTCCCATATATCTTTAATCGGATTTCAGGTTTATTGTGCAAATAATTGCTAATGTCAGCCCAAGTGGAGTCAATTTTGGGACGTACGTTTCGATTTTGTGGAACTCGGCTCCCATATTTATTTTTTTTAATTTAACCCTTCTCGAAGTGATATCATGTACTCTATAGCAATGTTATTTGGTGTAAAAGATAAAAATGTATCCGTCAAACTTACTCTAAATAGATTCAGAATTTGATATGCCTCCCATATATTAGTTCCCTCTGAAACCATATTCTAACTGCTCTAAAGCCAAATGCTGATTGGTGCTATGATCTACTACAAATAAATTCATTTGTTACGGAAGCTCTACTAAATATGCATAGTGGTGTAGGGTATCATAAATAAAGTCGGCCGCGCCCGACTTTTGAATTTCCCTTATAGGTCTTTTAGTGGAACTATCCCTACTTTACCGATAGCCACATTCAGTTTTATAAAAGTTTTAAACTCTAAATAGTAGATAAGTCACAAATTTTTATTACTTGGACCACATCTTTTAAATACCGATTGTAGTGCAAATCATTCTTAATTTTTGATTTTAAAAGTGAGTCAAACACTTCGTTGCTTTATATAATTAATAGAATTTGAGTATTTGGCAGAGAATCCACTAAAACAGCTAGCCAATCGTCATGGAAAATCTATTCCAATGTCGTATTGAAATTTTGAGGACATGGGTATAACTTCACAATAATACCACTCGAAACCTAAAAAATCAAACCATGATTTTTTACTAAAGAAATCTTTGAAATTTTAAAAATTTGGTTTTGATATTTGACGGTTTTTAAAAACTTTAATTCTAAAACTACACTATTGCTCCTCCGCTGTCGAAACCGTGTCAATTTTTTTAAGAGCAAAAAATCCTCCTTCTATTTGGTTGCTTATATGGTTTAAACGCCCCCTCCGGCAACATATTTTTAGTGATACACAAATTTTAAATTTTCCTCTTTGCTATTTATCCAGTAATGATTTTCTCAAAATTACAGAGATGAGAAACTGTTATTTCGAAATATCATAAGCATCTTTGTCACAATAGTTTGGCGAAATGTTCACTTGGGTTTTTTTCTGTGCTGCAACCAATATCACTTGATAGTTATATTATACATCGATTTGCCAAGGATAAAAAAGAAATCCTATTTTCCACACAAACATACACACAGGCACACTCAGTCACTCACTCGCTCGCTCACTCACAACGAGACACAAATAGTCATATTTGTAAAGATTTCAGTTTGTTTGCAAGATTTTCGTAAATATATATATACGTATGTATTTTTTCCATTTAGATTTTGCATACCATTTACGACGAAAAAAAAATGGAAGACCGAAGAGAATCACCAAATATAATTCCACACAAAAAACACTGTTAATCCTTTAAGCTTCGTCGGTTCGGATAGAATGTTGTCGGCGACAAGGATGTTGCTGATGTTGACGTTTTTCTTCCTCTCTGTTTTTTCGTTTTGACGATTCTTTTCTCTGGGCAATGTACAGAACTTCCGGTTTAGTTTTGAAAAAAATATATACCGATATATTACAAACACAAACGGAAGCGGATATACTAAGTATTTATTCCTTTAGTCGTTCGTTGTTTGTTTGTTTGCTTGCACAAAATATAAACATTTAGTTTTCAATCCGTTTTATTGCATATGATGTTGTTGTTGTTGTTTTTTCGGAATTTTTTTCTTCAACGTAAAGAAAAAAATTTTAAATCGCGCCTTTAAAGTTTAATATTATCTTTTTTCTGTTTTTAAAAATAGCTTGTGTTACAAGCCCGGTCGCGACTTTTTGGTTATACGGCCACACGTACGACCGTCACTTGCCGCTTTTGAATATTAAATGCTGCCTCCCAGATGCTAACGGTTACTAATATAACCCCCAAAACCAGCGCCAGCGTATGTACGGAAGATCACATGCCAGTCAGCCAACCAGGGCATTGCTGAAAATTCGGTTTCAGCCATCATCGATCGATTGCATGCCAAGAGCATACGGGAGAGATGTCCAACGGGGAGAGTCATGACGGCTGTGTGGATGTCTTTTTGTTTTTGTGAAATAATGCAAATAAAATTGAAAGTGTTTTGTGTGGCATTATTTCTTCTTTTTACACCATGACAATGACTTTAGCAAACAAAACAATTTTTTCCCTTAACACAAACTGCAAAGCAAACGCACATGAAGAAGATGAAGCAACAAAAATATGGCCTACCGTCCTACGACCAGTCGTCAGTCTCCGGAGGCAAAGGCACTCTTGCCCCAGAGAAAAAGTGAGAGTGTGGGTAAGAAAGCCAAGCAAAAGATCTTCACTTGTTTATGTTTATGTGCATGCAAATTTACAATTTCAAGTAACAGCATTAACACACACACAACACAACAATTCACCACACGGAATTTTTATTCACCTCAAACCCACGAACGAACGGGCAGCAGCAGAAATAACCTTACACAACATTTCGATCACAAAATTCCAACAGCGCTCTGTTATGGTCACTTTATCTCATCTTCAATTGCACTCTCTTACAACCGGCTCTCTCTCTCTCCCTCTCTTGGCCAACATTTCATTTCGCTTTCGTTTGAATCATTGTCATCTTTGTTGAACATGCATTTTTGTTGCTGCTGCTGTTGTAATGACCGACAAAAATTTCCCCCATCAACTGAGTGTAACCTTAGCTCTCACGTCGTCATCAACTCAAAACCTGTTTTGAGGTTAAACCTCCTCAATTTGCTTGCTATGTCTTTGGTGATCTTTGCCATCAGTGGCCAGACAGTTGGTAGTTGCGCATGCGCACTGTACCCATCACCGTACTTTGTCAATAGGTGTTGTGAGGCTCTGGTGTTCGAAAATTTTTTGTTTGTTTTGTTTTACATCAACAACATCAATGTAAAGAAGATGTTATGTAGTCGGTGGGTAATATTTTTTTCCGACAATTTATTTTATTGATCAATAAATGTTCAATAAAATAGTGTTAATTTACAACTTAGACGGTTTGGAATTTTTCTTTGGTTTTAAATAATGTTTAATTATTCAATTGTTTGAGTTCCACACAAATATCCAGGAAACAACATTTATGAATCAGCATTGAGATTAGTAGATGGAGGCAAATTTAGTGTTTCTTAGCCATAATTCTGGTTGCACGAAAATAATTTTATTCAAGTACTAAGTAATTAGTAATCCCTTGGTCTAAAATACTGTTATAACCTGATGTCGCGATTTCATGTCAATATCAAAGTAAGGGTGCAAGTACATAAAAAGCTTGAAGTCAAGGCTAGGCATATTAATGTCAAGTTATAATGGACAACGACGGCAGGATTTTAGTGCGGCTCTGTACTCCCTTTATGAAATGTCACAAAATATGCCTAGCCATGACTTCAAGCTTCTTATGTACTTGCAGCTTAAGTCTTTTGTTTCCCTAGGGCTCAAATGTCAAAATTAAAGCCTGAATTTTTTACTTGATTTGTATTTGCACCTGAGAGAATAAGTGTTGGAATCGAGATCTTCTTTATAATAATATAGGGTCTATCCCCATCGAACTTTTTGTTACCTTAACATTGTCAATTACTAGCTACAAAAAAGTCGATAGTGACCAATTAACATCAGCCCGCCAATTTTACTCTTTTTTTTTTGCTGTGTGGCACGTTGCACAGAAAAATGATGTTTTGTCTAGTTGACCCGAAATGCAAATTCTTAGCGGAATTGTGAGTCAATATTTCATATGTTTACTGATAATAATTTTGATAATAAAATTCAATAATTGACAAGCGTTGTTCATGGCTAAATTATAGACCAAACTGAAGATGTGGGATTGGTACTGAAAGAGTAGGCCGTACCTTCCACTTCCACATTTGCAGCCCTATTGAAGTCAAATGATACCAATTTTTGGGAGCAAAGATTCGTTCAACTTAGCCGCATAGCGCAACGGCCTCTCCTATGTCATATTAGAAGAACAAATATCCAATTCTGCCTCTGGACCAAAATCTGCTCTAAACAGTGACTTTTTGGTTGATTGGGTTTTTCTTTGTCCAATTGCGATGCAAAAATCCGTACGTAATTTTCGCACATATATGCAACAATACCATGATCTTTGAAGAAATGTTCAAAAGTATTTGTTCAGAAGAAGAATAAAATTTATTGACAAGCGAAATCAGAAATGAGCTAAGTGTTACCATTAAAGAAATAAGCACTGGTTGAAAAAAGTGGAATAGCGGACGCTTTGAGAACAAGTTTCATAATCCAAAACTTTTTTAGAAATTCTTAGTTATTTCACATCGATAACTTATTTCAATATACAGGGTGAGATAAAAAACTATGACAAAGTCAACATCATAATTTTTATTTTTTTTATTTTATTGAATGAAACCAAAAAATGTCGGAAATAGCATCGAATTTTGAAATAAGTATAGATTTGTTCGAATTGGTCACCTTTGGCACGAACTACGGCCTTCAATCGGCCAATAAAACTGTCACACGCTTCCCGAATGTTGCTCTGCAGTATTTTGGCCCATTCCCGGTGAAGCGCTTGCTTGAGGTGATCGACACTTTGGTATTTTTAGTGCCAACATTGCTTACCAAAATACTCCAGACACAATAGTCCAACGGTTTGGTATCCGTAGATTTTGGTGGCCATTAGCGCTGGAAATGAAGCGAGGAACCTCATTTTGTAACCATTCTTGGGTGGCGCGAGTTACCTACAGCCACCAATAAACAACATTATTATTAAGTTCATTATTTTCAACCACAACCTCATTTATTAAAAACATCATTATTGTTAACACCATTATTATTAACATCATTATTATTAACATCATTATTATTAATATCATTATTATTAACATCATTATTAGTTACAACATTGTCATAAGCACCAAAGAGCTAACACCAATATTGTTGACATTATTTCGTCAGCAATAATTCTCCACTTCAACATCACAATAACAACACTAGTAATAAAACTATGACGGAAATAACCCAAAAAGAAATGTTTACTTTTACTGTACCCAATACAAATTTTTAGCTTAAGTATTTTTCTTGATAGCTCTAGATTTTATGTTCCTTTGTTCTTTGTTAACTCTAAGAAAAATCAATAATTGTAAAATCGCTTAAATATAAGAATTTTTTGAATAAAGCATTAGTTGTATTTGGCATCTAAAACAGAATAATTCTTGTTTTCTTATTTGTCGGCGGTACGGAAGTTAACTGGCGCAGTCGTACGGCCATTGTTGGTGCGGTCTTTCTCAAGTGAAAAAATATAATTAAATAAATGTATCCTTAAAACAGAAAAAAAAAACCAAAAAAAAAAACAGTGACAAGTTAATTGTGGAAAAAACAGTGAACTATCCTTTAAAGGACATAAAAATTTTTTTTTTGAGAAAAATTTGGTGAAGAAAAAATATATTAAATTAATTAGGCTTGACGGTATATCAAGTAATCCTTAAGGAGAAAAATCGTGCGCCAACAATCGGAAAAAAAGAACCTACGTCCGTACAACCGAGAAAATCAAGTGCCAATACAATATAGTATTTTGTTGAAGGAATATCAACAATTTACTATAAGAAGAGAAGGAATATCTCTTAAATAAAAATATATATTTAAAATCAAAAATAATATTTTGTTGACGGAATATCAACAAACATAACCATCCAGAGAGAATTAATATCTTTTTGGTTGGAATAAATATTTAATAAAAATTGTTGAAGGAATATCAACAAATTATATCTTAAATAAAAAATATATATAAATTCATAAATAATATTTTGTTGAAGGAATATCAACAAATATTACCATCCGGAGAGAATGAATATCTTTTTGGTTGGAATAAATATTTAATGAAAATCGTTGAAGGAATATCAACAATAATACGGTCATAGTGGATCAGATCAGATAAAACAAGGAAAAAACCAACTAACAAAAACAAATAACAATACAGTGAAGATCAAAAAAAAAAAAAAAAAAGGAAAATCAACTAAAAATAACAATTAAAAGTTAATAACATATAACAATAACAACAACCGTAACAAAAACGAAAAAAAAAAAAAAAACTAAAAAAAAAAAAAAAAAAAAAAAAAAAAAAAAAAAAAAAAAAACAAAAACAAGCAACAATTAAAACAACAAACAACAACTACAAGTGAAGAACAAGAAATAGTCCTGAAGCAGTCCATATCTACATTACTTTATAAAATATAAACAGAAATAAGCAAAGAAATATTTCAATTATAAAGAAAAAGGCTAATCAAAATATCTCAAATCAATAAAAAGGGTAATTATATTAAATGCGAAGACTAAGACCAAGACCATATTCTATTCGATACTTAACTGCAATACCGGAACAACAAGAAATGACTACCGTTAATGACATTAGTGCCCCTCAGGCGCTACAATCTCAACAACCGTCACAATCCTCTCAAGCATACGAAACATTAAAAATTCCAGATGCCGTAAAAGATTTACCAACATTTAATGGAAATCCAAGGCAACTAAATGATTTTTTAGAAAACGTTGAAGAGATTTTAAGAATATTAGCGAATATCGATGGTTCTAACCAAGCAACAGTAGTGCTTAGAGCCATCAGAAACAAAATAGTGGGAGAAGCTAATGAAGTACTTAATTCATCCGGTACTCCGTTAGTTTGGGAGGTAATTAAAGCGAATCTAATACTTAAATATTCGGATAAAAGGAGTGAAACCTCCCTTGTGCGTGAACTCCACAATTTACGACAAAATAATCAGACTGTGCAAGAATTTTATGGTTCAGTTATAGAGCTACAGGCAGCAATAAATAATAATATATCAATTCATGAAACTAACAAACATGTCATAAACTCGAGGCGCGAATTTAACGCTAAAATGTGCTTAGATGCATTCTTAAT